ACTAAAGGCTAGACTAAAGGTTTGTTGACACAAAAAGTTAAAATTCACGTAAATCTTCTCTATGATTCTGTACTTATTCAAGACCCGTTAATTTGTATGCCGTGCTTATCAAAATCGCTAATAACGTGCAAAATATTTAAATTTATGATTTAGTTCGTTGCCCATTAAGAACGCATCTTGCATGCAAAAATACATAAAAATCAAAATTGATTATTTCATGTCAACTGCGATTAACCTCAATTAGTATAGCTCAAGATTCATATCTAAACACAAATAAATGGAATCAAAAACGAGTTCAAGTATATTCACATCGAATACGTGCAGCCCATTTGTTTACTCAAGAATGCAAGCATGACATAACGATATTAGATCATTCTCAAATTAATTTTTGTATGCTGCAAGCAACACCTCAATTTATAGGCTAGCTGAAGAGTCGCATCACAATTTTGCCAGCCTTTCAAAAAGAGCGTGCCGCATTCTTTTGCACAGTCCAGGATTTTCCATCGATTTTTCTTCTCGTTACGCTTTGGAGTCATATCGGCAGAACAGTCCGTACCTTCAGGGATTTTGCTACGGTTAATTATCGTAAATAAGGTAATTCCCGGTTCCGCCAGACCGTCTTTGGCGTTTTATGGACCATATTATCCCAAAAAATTGAGTACCTGGAGAGGTCATCTGTGGGGTAATAACAACCGACTAAAGAGCGTAGTGATAGGCCACACTGCTTCCCTGAAACTTGTTTTAGATACGGTCCGGGCCCTAGCACACTTAGGACTCGTACATAATTACAGTGCTCATAAAAGCGAGACTAATATGTGAATATTAGGCTCTCATATTGCGATCCTCAATTCGCGAAGAAAGGCTTAAGATATTTTTGTTGCGCCCGAAAGCCCATGTCAGGGCGAGGGCAAATTAATATTTTAAAATTTCAGCCACGTTAAACCATTATTAGCAGGATTGGTTTCCTACGTTAATTTAAAACGAGAATTAAAACTGCACGGCCATACTGGTTTACGCTGTTATCAGGTGGATTTTTATGCCGACCTGAGAAATTGCAATCAACAGTAGGTGTTAATTGGACTACCGATTTTAAAAATTTCAATCCGGCCAATTAAGTAAGTGAAATTAACAGTAGCTAAATAAATGTGTTGCAGTAAATGTCATTTCGCATAGTTGAGTGGGGTAATTAATTTGAATTTTAAGACCAATTACGGCCAGAAGACCGCACAATTAATTTAAGGAGTTGAAATTTTTGGACAGTATTAACCGAATACCTCGGCCGGGGCCTTTCCCTTTCCGTATTTTGAGGTGATCTTTTGCCTATTGCATTTTCGCAAGCGACGCGACATTTCGTAAGTACCGTTATTTTGAGCTTTTCCGTCACTTATTTTGTATTCATACCGTTTAATTTTTGCTTTTACATGAATTTTTTCCGTTTAATTCCCAGGTAATCTTTTTGTTACTTTTCATTCCATAAATTATAGGGGGGGGGGGGGGGTATATTGTTTCGCTTTCCTGCATTCGCTTTGTCGTAGATACCGCTACCCAATCCGATTCGTACGATTCAATTTTGTTTTAGCATTCATCAATAGCCGACCGCCACTTGTCCTTTACAATTCCTGAAGCTACCGTTTCCTCTAATTGAGTTTACCCAAGACTTCCGAGACCGATCCGCCAGCCCACTACTACCGCCGACCTTGCCCAGGAGCAAACCCGTACCCTTGGTGCCGCTCGAGTTCGTCCGCCCGCCCGTCCGTTCCCCCAACAGAACACTTAGGTTCCCGCCGATTACCGCAACTTTTCATCCGCTCACATGATTTAGTCACTTTATGTAAATTTACTTATTTTTTCCTGTAAATTAAGTGATACTCATTATTCCGCTAATGCTTATTTCATTTTTCCTGCCATTCGTCGCATTATTGGGCTCTTTGTTTTTGGATATCTTTTTTTGAAGAAAAATAAACAAGAAAGTGAAATTGCACCTCCAAGGATAAGTACGAAAACGTTGCATGTCAGGTTAGAAGTTCTAGTTTCATACTAAGAAGTTGGATAAGTCAAAATCCGTGGTACATCGAGTATAGGCGTGAAATTGAATTTCCATTCTAACAATGTAAATAATAAGTCGAAAACCATAAGAACACATGTAAGTATGGTTCCGCAAAAAATATCACAAAATGAGCACAAATTATTGGACAGTCTGAAGTTGTTTGGGTATTGTAATGGGAGCTCGTTAACGGATGTCATTTGATTCGAACTTTACTGAATTTTTTTCATTTTATATGTGGGCGAGTGGTCTTGAATACAGTCCTTACTTTGTACAGGGTGAGTCAAAGATTGCGCGGAGTAACTTAATGCCTTGAAGATAAGATTTTTCGATAGAGTGCTTTTGTATTATGATATGGTTGAATATTCTCCACATTTAAAAAATATTTGGAATTAGACAGGGTGCGCTCACAAAGTAGGGCTCCCAAATGGTACATTTTTTTAAAATAGAACCCCCTGTATTTGAATGCATTTTTGAATTCTACGTGTAATTGTACGTCTTTTTTTATTATATGGTTAATAACCGAAAAGCTAATAGTTTTACAGATAATTCGATTTTTAAGAAAAAAATGGGCATTTGCAAGCGTCAGTTTATATTGTCAAAATTTGTACTTAAATTTTGATTCCAGGTTTTATATCTTATCTTGAGTTAAGTAAAAGTCAAATAAATACATCTACTATGAAACATTAAAAATATAGCTTACAAGGTGTATTTTTTGGTAGGTCCAAAGTTGCAAAACTTCATATTTAAATCACACTTTTTTTAAATGGAACACCCTGTATATTTTTCTGTCATCTTTTAGCTCCTCCAAAAACCTTCAACTTTTGATACTAATGTCCTATACCTATCTCTGATATCTTGGTTTTCCTGGGTTTTATATTCTAATCTTAAATAAGTTATATGTAATTTACATAATAGTGAGGTGGCCATGCAAAAAAAGGCAATTTTTATCTGCCTCGTCCAAAGCTAAAATCATATCGATTAATTTATCTTTCAAACAATTTATTTTAAGTCTAAAAACTGGAGAATAAGCAAAAACATTTGACTACAAAGAAAATTTAATTTAACTCCTAATGCCATCCAGTCAGTGATATTAGTTTCATTTTTTTTTCATATTCACCTCGTTATTATGTAACTTAGAACTTATTTCAGATTAAAATATATAAACTAGGAAAACCAAGATATTTGTTTATGTTTTTACTATCAAATTTATTCTCCAGTTTTTAGACTTAAATGAATTATTCGAAAAATGAATTAATAAATATAATTTTAGCTTTGGACGAGGCAGATAAAAATTGCCTTTTTTTTGCATGGCCACCTCACTATTATGTAAATTACATATAACTTATTTAAGATTAGAATATAAAATCCAAGAAAACCATGATATTTCGAAAACTATGAGAGATAGGTATAGGACATTATTATCAAAAGTTGAAGGAGCTACATGATGACAGAAAAAGATACAGGGTGAGATTTTTGCAAATTTGGACCTACCAAAAAAACACCCTATAAGCTATATTTTTAATGTTTCATAGTAGGTACATGTATTTATTTGACTTTTACGTAACCCAGGATAAGATATAAAACCTGGAATCAAAATTTAAGTAATAATTTTGACAATATATACTGACGCTTGCAAATGCCCAATTTTTGTAAAATCGAATTATCTTTAAAACTACTAGTTTTTCGGATATTAACCATATAATAAAAAAGACGTACAATTGCACGTAGAATTCAAAAATGCATTCAAATACAGGGGGTTCTATTTAAAACAATGTACCATTTTGGCGCCCTACTTTGTGGGCGCACCCTGTATAATTCCAAATATTTTTAAAATGTGGAGAATATTCAACTATATTATAATACAAAAGCACTCTATCGAAAAATCTTATCTTCAGGGCATTAAGTTACTCCGCACAATCGTTGACTCACCCTGTACACAAAAATGAATCATTATGTAAATAAGTTAAAATCTCCATTCTCACGTAACGGTCCATGGCATTCACATTAGTCGACTCTATGACTGTGTTTATAGTAAATCTAAAATTGTAATCAATGTAACATAATAGATGAATTTTAGTATGATATTCTACATATATGGCTGGCTGGCTGTTCGACTGAGATCTCAGCAATTACTTCAAATTTTCACTAAAAGCTTTCTGTTATAGTGTAGATATGAAGGCTGTAGTCTATTTTGAGTTAGATTACTCGTGAGATCGATAATTTTAAACTTTGCTAATGAAATACTGATCTGCATTACCAAAAATGCGCTTTGATCATGCATATGCTGATTTACAACTTGTTTTTATCACAATTTTAAATTACGGTTTCTTTCGTTCGGATCGCTTCTTCTGAAGTGTCCATTTATTGTTGAGTAGGTAGATAAGTATTACAAATTTCGCTCCTTAAGGGTTGATTACACCAATCGGTAGCACTGACTGTATAGGACACGAAAAATTGCTCCCCCGGCCCCCCGAGGTTGCGGTACCAAATATTACCTTTCAAAGGTTTAATATGGAATAATTGCAAAGTGCTCTCTGACATTTATTGTCGCACATCTTGTCGCCAAGTGCCAGTGCGAAATCCGAGGCCGTGGAAAAGAAATCTATTTTGTTCGTCATCCGTACGAATGCACCAATTTTTTTATGGCGTAATCCCGCGCTCGAAATACTCGAATGTTGCAATTACATTCGTTATAGTTGTTAACTTTCAACCTCAACGCCAAGCAATTAAAACTAGATACAGCAGCGGTACGTACAAATCTAACGGGGCATTAAGCTCAAACAATCGAACGTATACTTAAACAATCTCCTTCGTCGGAAATTGCCATAAAATCGCACCGCCGCGCTGCGTCGCGCCGCGTGCGGTAGTTTGCATTATTAATTAGCGACGCGTCAATTAACAAAATTAAAACCAATTCGTGCAGTTAGTGACTGAGTATTCTGTTTGTTTGCAGGTGGAAGTTAAGGATGACGTTAGTATTTTACACATCTTCAACGTGACACAGCCCGATAGCGGCCAAGTGTGCTGCAGTGCCGAGATCGCGACGGAAGAAATCAGTCCGCATTCTTCACAATCGCCGAAAGAAAACTCGTTTTCGTGCGCTGATAAAGGAAATAATGCTCTTCGCGTTATAAGCCACACGGCCGAACTTAAGGTGATCTCCGATTGTAGTTTTGAGAGTGAAGGTAATGACAGCGGTGCGTGTGATTTAATGTCGATCAATTCCGCGACGAGCGGAAATATGTTGGAAATTCAAGAAACGGCGGCGAGTCTTTTAAAGGGACCGAAAGACACAAATGCGTCGGTGGGTGACCGTGTCCTTCTCAAGGCCACCTATATAGGTGAACCAGAACCGTCGATCACATGGAATAAAGCGGTAAGTCCTTTAAAGAAAGAAAAGAGTCACACCGTGATTCACTCGTCTATTATTTTAACATAAATTTACATTTTGTTGTTGCTTCGAAGTTTCCATATCAAGAAGCAATAAAATATAATCAATCCGTGTAAAGGTCGGCGCCGTAAGTTTGACATCATCCCCGTCCATTAAGGTCATTTCCGTAATAAGACTTTTCCCAATTATTTCACTCTGTGTCCACATTCCAACGCATCGACCTACTTTATCCATAAATATACATATTAATTAATGCAAAACCATTTGTTCAACCGAACCGAATTAATTCTGTAAACTAACACTACATAATTTTGTTCTAATTGTAAGTTAATGAGGATTAGGCGCGTAAATGTTTCAAAACTAAATCGTTAGCGCGATTATGTTTTTGTTTTGGTCCACTTTTTGTAGGCCCGGGTCCCGGATGTTCCATTTTGTTTCATTTGCTTTTACTTTTAAATTTATGTGCGATATTGGTTTTGTGAAAGCGGAGGTTTAAGGGGCATTTGATTGTTTCTACTAAGAGTTTTAAAAAATTCATAAATGACGTCACTGAATTTTGAACATAAGTGTGTGGTTCCGTGAGAACGTAACATCCCAAGCTATTTCGTGGCTTTGTTGCCCATGTTTAGGGTCTGTGAAGTCAGCAGAATATTGGCAGCACAAATCTTGGCACTAAGTGCGTTTGTTCCGATTTTAGCACACGCAATGAAACCAGCCGCAATTGTTTGTGATTTGTTTCTGCTGTGTAACTTTTGTTGACAGAACCACCCATTCAAACATTGTGCACATTTCAAAAACCGTAGACACACACCACCCATCAGGTGTTTGAGCCAAATCAATTATTAATATGCAGGGTGTTGTTTAGATTTAAAAATTAAAAGTTATGGAAGGCTTTCAATTTTTCATACAAATCAGTCTACTTTGATTTTTTCCATCACCATCCAATGCTTTTGAACTTAAGTATGTTTGTAACAAAATAAAGACATTTTACTCTGGACTAATTTTTAGAATTCGGCAAAAAACATCCTGTGTATTAGTTGATTTGGCTCATTTTTTCAATTTGTTAGTTTGAGTCACCAAGCAGGAGCGATCCTCAGATCATGAACATCCAACTCTAAACAAGAAGGTATCAATTGCGCACAACTCTTGTGCAGATAAAGCGCATTTTTTAAACCAAAATAGCTTAGTAAATGGTTGGGTTATAAGGTAGTAGCATTATCGATGTTTGCTTTCTTGGTAAATGATTAATGGGGAGGAGGTTTGTTACACATAAACATTTCCAGGCCGCCTGGCATACATTCAAAATCCTCCGACACTCCATTCTGCAGATATTTGCATTGTCTTGTCCTGACGTTCCACTTGTCTTTTATGAGTACCCTCTTCCGACACTTCGTTGCAGGCCCGTAGCCAGGCGGTGGCCAGGTGGGGCTGAACCCCACCTAGAACGTGGTCTTGCCCCCACTGGAAATTACGGTTGATGGTCCCTTTACAAAAATTACAGGGGAAGTCTTTATCAAAAATTTCTTAAGCACCAACTAGAAAAATATCGGCCACCCCCGCTACTTCATTCCTGCTACGTACCTGCTTCGTTGTCAACGTATTTGCTTCGACTTCATCAATAGATATGTCTCGTCTGGTCGATTCATTTTGCCTTTGAGAGTACTTCGACAAACCGTTTTCGAGATATTCGCTCTTAAAGTTTTGATCTCAGCATCAATTTCTTCTAGACGTCCCAATCGCCCTTTGTGAATAGTACCCTATTCCGACAATCTTTTCTGGAGATATAAGGGAACATATCCGATCATGATAAGGGGTCGAGGAGGAGGACTGTGGTTGGTAGAAATTAATTCCTTGCGTTGATACCTTTCATTCGAGTACCATGAAGGATAAAACCAGTTCCACTCTCCCCTCCCTCCAAACCCCCTATTTTGATAAGGGGCCAGAAGGGCGGTAGTTGGTAGAAAAAAACGGTTCCTTTCGTTGAGACCTTTCATTAAAATACAATGAAAGTTAAAATTAACTTCTAAGCCCCCCTCCCCCCGGGCCCGTCATCAAACTTATCTTGAAAAAGAGTCGCGCGGGAAAGTTCTAATTTGTACAAACCAATTTATTTCAATGAAACCTTTCATTAGAATACCATCAAGGGTAGAACGTGTGTTAACCCCCCCCCCCCGCCCCATTTTGAAAAGTTTTACTTGGCACCACTAAACGCATTCGTATGCAAAATCTGAGACCAATTAGTTGTCGTATGTAAACGTTCTGCACGTTTTACTTTCAAAACAGCATCTCAAAAAATAATTCCCCCCCCCCCCCCTCTATAAGACAGCAAAATTTGATGGCCGTGTGGCACGCCAGGCTCGCCACCATGAGTACTGACATTATCCGATCAAAAGACAAATCATGACATAACAAATTAACAGAGCAACCATAATCATAAACAAAATATATAGTATTTATGTAGGCTTCGACAGTTGACATATTTGCCTCGGCATAACAAAGATTGACGCAAAACCAATATTCGATCACTACATGCCAAGGGTCGACTAAAAGAATTGCAAGATGGCTCTTTTCTAAAACACAAAAGAAACATAGAACCATATATCTCTGCGTATGTCCGTTGTGGACTTTTGCCACCTTCTGCTACGTCAAATCGAAATTAAATATCGAAATCAAATACTTATAGCACAATACATATTCGAAACAAGTCTCCCTACCAAATATTCATGCAAAAGAAAGAAAATGTACGGCAAGAAATTCAATTATAAATTAACAACGTAGTGTCGATGTCTCCAAATACAGCACCATCCACGAATTGCTATAATATTTATTACATCGTTTAATTAGAATATACTGTATCTAAATATAAATAAAAACACGTAAATCGGTCATAAATTTATTGAGGGTTGTGGCGTAAAATCAGTGCCACCAATAATGGACAATTAGAAAAACAACATATTTACTTAGACAAAAAAAACAATAGAATCTTGCCTATCTCTGTGACTTTCATTAAGAGTAAGAATGCATAATTGTAAAAGAGCAATCGTTTTTCATTACTAATTAGTTGTAAATGACAATACCCATGCTGCACTCGTATTTACCTAATCTCGTACCTAATGTGTGTGGAGCGCATGCCGTTAATTTGGCAAATAATCTAACACAATCATATAATTACTGTATGGATGCAATAAGTGAAAGATTAAAGATAAAAGAATACGTCACCTGAGTAATGGCAATCGAAACAGGCACCGTAACTATTCGAAAAACCAAATTATGACGTCATTTCACCAAAGTAGACATACGTCTGCCCAAATTTCCTCTTTAAGCAAATCCTGGACGAAAGTTGTTAATATCCACGCGCCCACAATTACTTTACCCACGGCTACCTCTGTAATAAAATTTAAATACCCCTTTCCTTGCGGAAGTTTTGCCTTTTATTTCCGGTAAGATCAACAACTTTACTCGCTGATTTGATTGCAGACGCATCGAATTAAAAAAAAATAAAAATGTATACAAATATAGCAAACGAGTTCCTGGGCATAGCATGTGCAAAACCAAATTTTGAACCTGGTGTTAGATTTGCTTTTATTTCAAGTGGATATGTATCAAATTTCATTTAAATACCTTCATAAACAAAAAAGTTTGCGTTTCGGTTCAGAAATAGTCGAGATGCGAAAAGGGCACTGTGAATGTGGATCGATTAGGCTCGACTGTTGGCATTGGTTATTATATGCCTAAAGCTATGCCCATATTGAATTTCATAGAATTCGGTTCCGAACTAACGGAGTTGTCAAAAGGGCCAAAATTCCATCGTAAACGGTTTTCGAAATATCGTGCTAACGGACAGACATAGCAAATAAACTCGCTAGAAGCTCGTTGATAATCGTTTCTCGGGGTTGAAATAATGCCGATTGCCGAAGATGAGAGCGAGCGACCCTATAGTAAAACAAGTATAAATTGTGTGTAATTTTTTTAATTTTTAAAAAATGCGCTAAAATTTACTTGCTGTCAACGTAATTTCCGGTTTAAGACACAGAATTGGTAAATTGTTTTTTTTAATTGTAAATTTAAAACTTGTGTATGTCAGTTAATTGTATTTGTTGTACGTAGTGAGTATCCTAAATCTTAGAACGCATAATTAAGGGAATATTTAATCGTAATTTCGACGTAAGGTAAAAGTTTTACAGGACCATATGTTTTGTAAAGGCGTTATTGGACAAATTAATTGGCTTTATTTACTAACAACGCCACGTGCTAGATAACGAAGGCAGGTATTTATGTTACTGTTGCGCTAATTTATTGTGGGCAAGTTTTCCCCGATTTAAGAAGTTTTTTACACATGCTGTTTCGTAATTGAGAGAGTATCAGTTCCGCTTCTTGCGGTTTAAACACCGAAAAACTGTATACCTGAATCGGCGCGTCAACCACTGCGATAAGGTTTGTCATCTAACTGTCAGCTGAGACACCCGATTTACAACAGTAAATTTAATTTCTAAACGTATACAAGATAATTTTTTGAGCTAAAGCCTAAGGTAAATCTAAAAATTCATCATTTTGATAGGGACTCGGTATCTTAGCAATGCGCATTTATAAAAATACGGCAAAAATTAGCCACTCCTAACGTGTTGACTAAATTTCAACACAGTAGCATTGGATGTAGTCTTTTGAATATAAAATTAGCAAACTTTCTGTCCATAGCTTCTTGAGTTTAGCAATGTGCTCTTCGCATTTGCTCTGATCTTTGCTCATCAACTGAATGCAATTTGTCCCACATTTCCTTCTTAGTCGTAAACATGTTTATCAATTGTCTTACCTAAAGACAATAAAATTCAAGTTTCTTGAAGGCTTCCTTCTTCTTATCATATACCATCCCCTAACTTTGGGCGTTGCATAGTAGTCAGTTCAGTAGATTACGTCGTTGCCTTCCACTATGTCCATACAGACATTTACATGCAACTGAATTTTGACTTGGAATTTCCAAATAACCCATTTGGAATGCACCTCCAATTTATCTATCAAAACGAAATTTCCATGGCAAATAACCCAGACTAAAACTACGCAAACGATACATTTCCGTTGCGATCGTTCCAACAAAAATAAATTCCCACAATACTGGACCCATAACCTGATGAAATCTGTGGTTAAATAAATCTTGCACGAATTGAATGGTAAACAGTTGTAAGTTTCTTAAAAAGAATTGTTTTTGTTTCACGCGGAAGAAGTATCAGGATCCAATGATTTCAATAGGGATTTAAACGACCGTTTCTTAGTATTGTAATGATCCTAGCCTCCTACTATCTTGGCGGTCTAACGCCAACTTCAAGTCACACCGGAATATTTGACCATATTCTGTAGTAGCGGGAATGCCAAACTAACATGGCTGCCTATTTGAATATTCTCGCTTACGTTTCCCGTGAGAATCTGTCACTCGGGGGCCACTCCGAGTGCACTAAGATCGTGATCGTCATGTAGGACACCTACGTTGTGTAATAACTGGGTTCTCAACAGGCATGAGGGCGTTTTATGGGTAAGGAACACCAAAAGCAATAGCTGATTAAGATTATATTGAAGCTAATACCATTACGGCGCCCCTGCAGAGGGCCTTAAGTGGTTCTATACTACTCCGGCATTTACCTTACGAATTAGGAAAACTGCAGGAAAACCTAATTCGGAGTAGTCCTATAATGAACAACATCCAATGTACAGCACTTTTGAGCCCTCTCGAAACCGGGGAACTACTACAAACACGCTATGAGTAATCAAAATGGGATCGAGCGATTCCCCAGGTATTACAACGCATACATCGGACAAAACTAAGAGATATTAAATATGCCTCGCCGGACGGTAGGATTACCCAAGACCAGTGGAGACCCTGTAGTCCTGGGCTAAAGTTGTTGGGTTTGGGACGAGTGAAAATGTTAGTGTTAGGTTCACCAAGGTCGTATAAACTTGAATAGCTCGATCCCCTCTAAACAAGCACACTTCCCTCTTGATTACTCACAGTCCCAAATAAGTAAATATAATGAAATGCAATGAAATAATCGAGAGTCACTAAAAAGCACAATACACAAATTAAATATGTACACATGCAAGTATGTACTGCACAGATACAGCCCTACCGACAATGAAACATGATTGCCAATACCAACAAAGGTTACACATTAAGAGGTACAAGTGATTGAATCCAGTAAGTACATAAGTAAAGGGTTACAATCTGCATTCAAGTTACACACATTTATAGATTAATTGAATAAAGCAAATACCTCACCTGATATAAAAAGCAAAAGCACACAGCAATGATTAAGGTATAACAAAATATTTCAAGATAAGCCGTACTTTACACTTAAGCCGGTTACAAGAAAAAGACCATGAACACACATGTTAAATCGTATTTATTGACTATCCCAAGCGACGCGGTAACTTGATCTCCTAACACCCCTAAAAACCACCCGAAAACCGCCCATTCCCTGCATTTCACGCATTTCTAGGAAAAAAAAACTGGACTGCAGGTGTTCGAAATGGTAAACACATGTGGTCTTCCGAGAAATTCCATCGGTCTTATCTTCGCTCTCTTTCCCTTTTCTGTAATCCCCCCACATTTCGGTTGGAAGCTTGTGTAACTAACATGATTGTCAAGAGAGGGATAATAAAATAAAATAAAATAAAATAAAAAAAAATGATGTATAGAGTGCTTCGTATCGACAATCATATTCACAGGACGTTGCTAAGGTTGGGGCATCTCAGAATATACCTAGCATTGTTTTCAGGGCAAGATACTGACGAACAGTGACCGCGTTTGGATTACCTCAGGAGATGGGATGACGTGTTTACTTCTTGAAAATATAACAACGCACGACAGTGGAAAATATGGAGTCCGTGTCGAGAATAGTTACGGTTCCGATATCCTGTACGCATCACTTTCTGTCGAAGGTACCGTCAAACTTAACACTCACCCTACTAAATCATTCGTTTATCTAGGACCTCCAGATCCGCCACAAGGCAAACCCAATGTTGTCGCAGAGGCAGATTGTGCAGTGATAACGTGGAGTAGTTCGCCGTACGACGGCGGTAGCATTATCACTGGTTACGCGCTCGAGTACAATAAAAATGGGGACAATGATTGGATTACGGCAGCAGACAATTGTCATACCTTTAATTATACTCTGAATGGACTTGAATCGGATTCGTGGTACACGTTCCGTGTACGTGCAATCAACGTTCATGGTCCAAGCCTACCCAGCCCAATATCGGATCAAATTCGATCAGTTGATACTGCAGTTGTTGCATTCGAACCTCACACGCTCTTCCATTCCACTTACGAGATTTTAGAAGAAATTGGAAAAGGAAGATATGGTGTCGTTCACAAAGTTGCTCATAAAACAACCGGTTGTCACTCGGCAGCGAAAATTGTACGTTGCAGAACAGCCAAAGATAAGAAAAAGGTTCAAGATGAGATCGACATTATGAATTTAATTCGACATCCCAAACTACTTCAACTTTTAGCAGCGTACCAAAGTCAAAGAGAGATGGTATTACTGATGGAATAGTAAGTGACTTTCGAGTTTAAGGACCACTTTAAAGTCGTTTGTAGCATTTCAGGGGGTGAGCTTTTTGAGCGAGTTGTAGCTGACGACTTCACCCTCACAGAACGCGACTGTATACTATTCATGCGGCAAATTTGCGAAGGCGTCGCTTATATGCACCAACAAAACATCGTACATCTAGACTTGAAACCCGAAAACATCATGTGCAGCACGAGAACATCGCACGAGATTAAGATAATCGATTTCGGACTGGCGCAAAGACTGAATCCTCAAATTCCGATTCGAGTCCTATTTGGAACTCCGGAATTTGTCTCGCCCGAAATCATAAATTATGAGCCGATCGGAACGAATTCTGACATGTGGTCTATTGGGATCATTTGCTACGTTCTGTAAGTGCCATTGTGTTGCTGAAATTCGCTCAAGACCTTTTCCAGGTTATCTGGACTATCGCCGTTTATGGGCGACAATGACGCGGAAACGTTCGCCAACATCACGAGGGCCGACTACGACTTTAACGACGAAGCTTTTGATACCGTCAGTCAAAATGCCAGAGATTTTATTGGGGCCTTACTTGTGAAAAAGAAAGAGTGAGTAACTGATCCCGCCGTTCGTTTTTAGTTGAATGTTTGTTTAGAAATCGACTGTCGGCTGAAGAGTGTCTTAAGCACACTTGGTTAGATCCGGAAAGGCATCAAACGACTGTAGTTCTCTGCAAAGAAAAGTTGAAGAAGTTTATCATCAGAAGAAAGTGGCAAGTGAGTATAGCGAGTTGTGGTGTTCCGCTTAGTTTTTCGCATGCGTGTGCTTTTGCATTAACAGAAAACTGGCAACGCGATTCGTGCTGTTGGTAGAATGACGAACTTGTACGTAAACCGACGCAATTCTTCCTCGCAAGTTATCGCCGACGTCAGGAAGGCCAACATGACGTCAAAATCGCTAAGTTTAGACAGCGAAAAATCCAGTTACAAATACAACGACAGTGAAGATTTACACGATTTAATTGTGAGAGATGTACATAGCTTTGTCGAAGATTCAAATCTTGCCGAAAACGATGCGAATGGCGTTGATGAAGTTGATAATGCGGAATTTGACGCGGAGGAACTTGGCAATGCCAATGACGATGATATCCAGCCATCGATTGTAAATGATGAAGTAACAGAAACTGAGAGAAACATCACCAAGGATATTAACTCAAATAACCAGACTTTAAGTGATAGCTGGAAGATAAGACATAATGGAAAATCCCAGCTTAATAGCGTGCATGATAAATGCTGTCAGTTTGAAACACAAGTTAGTGAAGGCAAAAAAGGTAAGTGCGCTAGACGCTATAGGAGATTGTAAGTATTGGTTGTTTTAAACTCGGTTCGCTCTGCGTTTTGCTGCTCGCAATGACGAATCCCCTACTACTTGCATGAATTCTTCATTGGTATGTACCGAGTGGCCAAATAAGAATGACACAGTAACAAAAGAGAATCGACATTCGTTTTCTAGACACATGGAGATATTTCTATACAAAAGTAAATATACAGATTAGAGAACCTAGTCAAAGTCTACTACGTTGAAGCGCCATCTAGCGTCTATGAATAACTGTAATTAATATGATAATTCAAGCACGTGCTTGAAACATCTGGTGTATTGACTTTTAAAGAAACCCAAGTTTTTTTTAATGTATGAAAGAGAAAAAAGATTTAGCAATTTTTTCATCAAAACACTCCCTCCTCTTATACCTATTGCAATATTCTGATTTTCCATTTTTGGGAAAAGTGCCCTTTTTATTTAGCCACCCGGTACTTACAACGAAAAAAACTGACCCCTTTTTTGAAATTACAGGAAAACTACAAACTACGACGAACGGCTTAAGAAGTAAGACTGCCTCGACCTCTGTAGCAAGCATGGTACAGAAATTTGACTTGCTAGGAAAATCATCCCCGTACAATACAACTCCAAAAATTGTGTTACCAAAATAATCGAATTATTTTCGTACTCGTAATTGTGATAAAAGCAAAAGCTCAGATTTAATTAAAAAAAAGGAGATTAAAATCTGCATAATAAGTATATATTGTATATTTTTTGTGTTGTAGAACTTTATTTTGTTTATCAATTTTAATGCCGTTTGAGGTAGGATTTTCTATGAAAAATCGTGTAAAAAATAATGCAATGAGTTTACTAAATTTGTTAAACTTGTAATTTATTAGTTTTTAATATGGGAGCCTACTGCTATTTTAGTAGCTCATATATTTGCGAGACTGCATCAATAAATGTGAACTGCATTAGGAACTAATGTATCGAATTTTTATGTATAATATGTAACCTAAATATAGCATTGCAGTAAACATTGTTTTTGGTACTTACCTTGTTTTTAGTTCAGGAGGCAGCGACATTTTTTTTGCACTCATTTCTACCAAGCTGATATTCTACCATTTTATTATTATTATTATTATGGTCGGTGTATCTTGTGAGAACTCAGGTCTAGCAGCGACATTTTTTTTGCACTCATTTCTACCAAGCTGATATTCTACCATTTTATTATTATTATTATTATTATTATTATTATGGTCTGTGTATCTTGTGAGAACTCAGGTCTAGCCTGGTTTAACTAATCGCACGGATTAAAATCAAGTAACGATTAGTGTCTGTGTCTGGTGAAGTTATGTAGGGTTTATTATTATTAACACTATACTTCATTCATTTAAGAAGGTAGTAGATGGCGTTGTCTTTGAAGATAAGCACACACAGGAAAAATATAAAACGGCACCAAATTATTGTAAAGTAGAAATATCCAGCACTGCAAACAGAAATAAATGTTTGACATTAACAGTTAATGAAACTTCCAACAGTTTAGATGGCAACAGAAACTACCAGCTTGCAAAATTCGCCACTCGTTTTATGTTCAGCGTAATACTGACTTGTGTTTTAACCAATCACACTGAAGGTCAAAGCTTCCCTATGCTTCACTACCTTCTTAAAATGAATACAGTATAGAGGCGCTAGTATAATTTACAAATGGCGTGTGCAGGTAGTAGCGGTTTGTAAACATCTGGTTATTCTTGCAATTTTTTAAGTGAAATTGTACTAATTTGAAATGTGACTTTTTAAACTACCTATCCCTGCTCTTTAAGAATGTAATGATCTTAACCCAACCCCAGCCTCGAAGCGAACATGACAGATTTCAGACCAAAGTGGCAACGTTGCAATCCCAGTATAAAAACACAGTTCCCGCTTAAATTTAAAACAAAAGATTGGCACATGATCGGATCGTCTAAGGTAGGACCCCCTTACGTTACACGAAGATAATGCAATGACTCGGGACTCAGTTCGGGCAGGAACTCTCAAATAAAATGCTGTAATGTCTGCGAGTTCATTTATTATAAACTTATTCTGAAAACCCGGGAATTTGGATGTGCCTCTTAACACTCCCCTCACATTGGTCACGTAACGACACGAAACTGAAGACGGTTAAGAGATGGGTCGCCGCCCATAGGTAGAGCGATCTTGGGTTACAGATACTTCGCCCCTAAAGTTAAAGTTCGCGGGCCCTCGGATCCTTGTGTGCCTTAGCTCTAGAATACATTTCTATTCTAGCGTCCGAGCGAATACAACTCAGAATGCAATACTTCCGCCACCAACAAGCTCTAATAATCAACAGGTGACGCAAAGCCAAAATCCAAAACATCCCCCGAAAATTTCAAAAAAATTATCAAGTGGTGATGGCGGTGGCTCATGTCCCTAGAATTTCCAACTACTTGATTGGTTACATCCGACGTTGAAATATACAGGGTATTTGAAGGGATATAGACATCTCAAGATGTAGGTAATTACATTGATTGCAAATAAAAAATAAAAACTACAGTTGATTACTTTTGGCCCCTTTGGCGATCTTATACCACCAATAGTAATTACAATGTGCTGCTGCTGCCAAGGGCCACCAGAGCCCGGAGGTCTCGTTATAAAGGTTGCCGCGCACTTGTCCGTTCGGTTCCGTCACGTTACGGACCTTTAAAAAACGTCCAACATAAAATACATTGAATTAAATTAAACGTCTCTGCGCACATTGGCACTACCTACAGTACTTCATTAAGGTAACAGACTCGTCTGCCATTCTCTAGCCCACTGACAGTCCAAATCTGTGCACAGAAAAACTGTTTAATGATTAGACGCATCGGGCGCAAGACACGCCACTGAAAGTGAGACCAATAATAAAACCGCAAATTTTACCGGTATTAGAGTTACAGCCAAAGCTATCAAATGTCATCTACTTTGTTTATAATCATTAGAGGAATGAAGTAACAAAGTTTATATTGTTTAAAAATGATTTTTAATAATCCAAATTAATAAATTTTTTCATAACCCTATTGTTGCTTGGTATGGAAGGGGATGATGGCACACAACTCATAAAAATCGAACCAAAACACGAAGAAGTAATCCATTCCTCTTTTCAGGAACACGTTTTGGTAAGCAACGAAGCTTTAGTCGCTATAAAGAACGAAATGACCGTTAGTGCACAGTGTTCCGATTCCCTTTCTATTGAAGAAGTACAACAGCCTGACTGCAAATGGAATACTAAATCTTATAAATGTAACTTAAGTACAAATAGAAAATTGCAGTTTAAGCAACCCCATTTAAGGCATAGAGCTTCTAAACAGTTTAAATGTGCAAGTTGTTCTTACAGAACAAATAGAAAAGACAACTTTCAAAGGCACCTTTTAACCTGTAAAAACGGGTGTAAAACAGATTTTAAATGTGGTAATTGTAATTATCAAACAAATTATAAATCCTATCTTAAACGACACCTTTTAAGACATGTTTCTAGAGTTTTTAATTGTGCTAATTGTGATTATGTGACAAATGTTAAAAAGGACATCCAACAACACTTATTAAAACATAAAGTCTCTAAAGATTTTAAATGTATTTATTGTGATTATGGTACAAATTATAAATACTCCTTCAAAATACATCTTTTAAAACATTGTGTTTCTAAGGATTTTAAATGTGCTAATTGTGACTATAAGACAAATAGTAAATCCTATCTTAAACAACACCTTCTAAACCATAAAGTTTCTAAGGACTTTAAATGTGATAATTGTGATTATGGGTCAAATGATAAACGCCTCTTCAAACGACACATTTTAAAACATAACGTTTCTAAGGATTTTAAATGTACCGATTGCGATTTTGAGACAAACATTAAATCCTCTTTAAAAGCGCACATTTTGATACACAAAGTTTCCAAAGATTTTAAATGTGTTAATTGTGATTATGGGACGAATAATAAACACCTCTTTAACCGGCATATTTTAACACATAAAGAGCGAAATAAAGAGTTTAAATGTGGTAATTGTGATTACAGCACAAATAATAAGTACTACCTCAAAAATCATCTTTTAAAACATAAAGTTTCTAAAGACTTTAATTGTGCTACTTGTGATTACGGCACAAATAATAAATACCACTTTAAACAGCACCTCTTGAGACATAATGATTCTAAAAATTATAAATGTGCTAATTGCGATTATGGTACAAATGATAAGTACTACTTAAAAATACACCTTTTAAAACATAGTGTTTCTAAGGATTTTAAATGTGCTATTTGTGACTACGAGACAAATAGTAAATCATACCTTAAACAACACCTTTTAAAACATGAAGTGTCTAAGCAGTTTAAATGTACTAATTGTAATTATGGGACAAATAATAAACGCCTCTTCAAACGACACCTTTTAAAGCATAACATGTCAAAGGATTTTAAATGTACTGATTGCGATTATAAAACAAACATTAAATCCTCTCTTATGGCGCACATTTTAATACATAAAGTCTCCAAAGATTTTAAATGTGCTACTTGTGATTATGGAACAAATAATAAACACCTCTTCAAACGACATCTTTTAAAGCATAAAGTTGCGAAGGATTTTAAATGCGGCACTTGTGATTATGGGACAAATGACAAAACGTACTTCCAACTGCACCTTTTAAAACACAAAGTGTCTAAGGATTTTAAATGAGCCAATTGTGGTTTTGCAACAAATGATAAAAAGTACTTCAAAAAACACCTTTTAAAACATTTGTAAAATTTGTAATCTTTAAGGCCACGTGATAAAAATTTTTAACGCTATGTTAAAGGTTTTGTGGTATTATGACGGTTATCATATAGGTACCATTAACTTGTTCTAAATGTTGGTGTGGCAAAATTCTGACTTTAAACTCAGAATTCTGACTTCGAACTCCGAATTCTAACATTAAACTCAGAATTCTGACTTTAAACTTAGAATTCTAACTTCAAACTCATAATTCTGACTTTAAACTCAGAATTCTGACTTTAAACTCATGTGACCTCAAAGTAAAAATTCTGAGTTTAAAGTCAGAATTCTAAGTTTAAAGTTAGAATTCTGAATTTCAAGATAGAATTCAAAGTTTAAAGTTAGGATTCTAACTTAAAACTCAGTTTAAACTCCAAATTCTGACATCAAAGGTTAGAATTCCGAGTTTAAAGTCAGAATTCTGTGACCTCAAAGTTAAAATTCTGAGTTTAAAGTCAGAATTCTGAGTTTAATGTTAGAATTCCGAGTTTAAAGTCAGAATTCTGCGTTTAAAGTTAGAATTCTGAATTTCAAGATAGAATTCAAAGTTTAAAGTTAGAATTCTAACTTAAAACTCAGTTTAAACTCCAAATTCTGAGATCAAAGATTAGAATTGCGAGTTTAAAGTCAGAATTCTGACTTTAAACTCAACCTCAAAGTTAACATTCTGAGTTTAAAGTCAGAATTCTGAGTTTAATGTTAGAATTCAGAGTTTAAAGTCAGAATTCTGCGTTTAAAATTAGAATTCTGAATTGTAGTTATTTTTTTTTTATAGATGGCTCTTCTATGCCTTCGTACATATCCAACTTGTATCTAAAGGTTTTGTTAGTACCTATATGTTTAACCGAGTTAGCTGGATAGGTAGTTGTAGATGGTTTAGTGAACGTTTGCCATTGCACATAGCAATATCTATAAATGATAACATGCGGCAAGTATACTATTTATTGATAAAATGGAGAATTGTATAAACTATCACAGAACTATCATCATAAGATATCAAGTGGAAAATGAGTAACAGTTAAATAGAGAAGAAATATAAAAAATAGTCGCGATTTCTAATCAGACACTTCCCTATTTGCTATTACCTTGCGTAACGCCTACAATAATACACAAAGGCACAAAAATTAAAACTATAAGTAAATAATTAAACGTAGTTCCATAGGCCACTTGGAGTAAGCACAGATAAATGGGAATTTTATCTGTGGAGTAAGCATCTGAACTCAAAATTCTCTGATAGCTAACACAAACTGCTAAAATTTTGGGAAATTGAACTGAGGAACTTTTTCTTCTTTGTGGCTCAACTTCAAACTTGACGACACTGGATAAAAAAATGACTAATTTCTACTTTCATATATGCTAATACAACAATTAAAGTACATTAATTCAATAAAAAATGTTAATATTACAACAATATTTACGATTGGTAATAACAAATTATGTAAATAATGTTGGGCTATTGCTACATCCTCACAGTGTGCCTAATCAATGGCAGAATTGGTAATAACCTGGTAAGACAGTGTTGCCTTCTTAAAAAAAAAACGGATAAAATGAAATAAAATTTAATCAGTCCACTTCTAATTGCATTTCAAACGTGTATAAGTGAGATCGGACTACCCGAACTTTTCGGCGATTGCAAAGTCATAAGGCTATCTTCGTATATTAATATCTTCTTATCCTCCTTCCTCTTGAACTGCTTCCTCTTCCCCCTATTTATCACGCCGTCGTCTTCGTCCATCATCCGTATTATTTGAATTTGATCGGACGAATCGAGAGGGGCGACCGATATGTCGCGTACCGCTCTGAATTTACCGCAATTGTTTAGGTGCTCGTTTTCCAATCGGAAGAAGTTCCATACGAAGCGACGAAAGACCTCGAGCGGCGACAATATTGATGTCATCAGGTCGGAACTGACGTATTGCATTTCGGTTAAATACAGCGATAGCGCCCATACGAATCGAAGGACAAAGTCTTCGATGATCGCGAAGTAGTAAAAGAACTGAAAAAGGATTTTTGCGTGATAAGGCCCTATGCATTTAATAAGTGTTGAAAATCACTTGAATGTCTATAGATGGCGCTTTACTCTTTTGTTAGTACAGTGAGTTTTTAGAGACAGGCATACGTGCATTGTGTGTTGCCTACTTCCAATTTGAATTTTCGATGCAACATGGCGCCTAGGCTCCTATAGTCAGCACTGTAAAAAATGGCGCAACTTATTTAGCTTGAAGTTTTTTTTTCAATTTTGCAGCAACACTACTTATGGATACCAGCTAAAAATATATTCCAACGAAGGAAGTTGTTCTAGACCGCCCCCCCCTCTTCCCCCCGGACAACGATCATTTTCGTGTTTCGACATAAAAACGCAAACAGTGAGTAACTATAACGGCATCTAGGTACACCAAACAGTTTTCCATAACAGCCCCCTGAGCATTAATTCTATTACAGGCGCTCAAAAGTCGCAGGAGCGTTGCATAACGCAAACCGCATTACCTTAAACTGCCATAAACAGGAACCAACACTGAACGCAGTATTTTCTCGATGAGGTTCGAGTCCCATATGCCAGTAACCACTCTTCTTATCCAACATTGAAAACCATTCAGTTCCGGTAAGAGTATCTAAAGTATCATTCTTGGTAACGATTAACCTTCTTGGTAATTCAATTGTCGATAATGTACGCAAAATCGTATGGACTCCTCTTCCTTTTTCACCAAAACCACAGGTGACGTTACAATGATCTTCTTAGCTTCATCCCATTTAATTCATGGTGGTTTTCTGGGGTTTCGTTTAATCAGTTGTGCAGCGTCAGTGGTCTTATGGACCGCAATGTTAATATTTACCCATTAGCTCTTTTTCTGACGAAAACACATCTTGCATCAAACTACAAATTCATGAAAAAAAGTATCACTTTGAAAAGCCCGTGCGGTTAGGCACCCATCGGGCGCGTCCCCAGGTGGCGGATAGGGGAACGCCCACGCAAGCCCTGAATGATCGTAAGGTGACAAGTGTCTCTGTGTGGGTAGTAGCGATTATAAGTTGCTCGTCGGAGCTGAAACCCAGACTGGCAGCAACGAAGGTCGCTACCGCGGACCAACCTCCCAAGTCAAGGTGTTAGCTACCGTGCTGAGGACTGCGTGACACTGGGGTGCAGTGTCGATAACGGTGCCCCTCGGATACCGGGCGACCTCCGAGTGGTATTGTAGCCAAGCCCTGCGCAAGCGGCTCTGCGCAGGTGATACCGCTCTTCCGCATTACTCGTGGGAACAATATGGATACAAGAAAACATAATTTTCCTTTACAGGGCTCCTCGTCAGGGGGGACCAATGAACCAGGGCCACAACAGGGGTCCTGTGTAGGGGCAGGCTCCTCGAAAGAGGGGACAGCCCCAAAGCAGGGCTCCACCCAAGGACCTGGACCAGCTCCGTCCCGTAAGAAGAACAGGACGGGGGCGCAAAAGGCGTTGGCCAGGAAGCGGCGGCTCGAGGGTAAAACCCCGGGTCAGGTGCTAAAATCGAAGGTTGCGGCTGGGTCGGTGGCTCAGGAAGGCGAACCGACGTCTGGGACCAAGCGTCTCAGATCGGAGGGTAGCACTCCAGGGTCTGGCTCGGTGCAACCTCAAAAGAAGTCCAAAGGTCCTGGGGCACCCACGGGTGCACCGCGGACCTATGGGCAAGTCGCTGCGGCGGGCCTCAAGGTGGCTATCCTACCGGTGTCGTACCCGGAGGTGGACCTCACTGAGGCTCAGTCGAGGTGCATTATGGCTGCACTAAATGTGGCTGTAGACGACTTGGAGGTCGGGCCTTTTCCGAGGCTGGCCGGGTTCCGCTGGAACTCGCATGGGGTCGTTGTGGCTGAGTGCGAGGACCAGTGGACTCTGGACTGGCTGGAGAGGACCGTCTCTCTAATCAAGCCTTGGGAAGGTGCGTCTCTGAAAGTACAGAGGCACGTCCCAAAGGTGGTAAAGGTGATGGCAGTGTTGCACGGGCTCCCGGATGACACGGCCATCATTTTAAAGCGCCTCCATAGGCAAAATCCTGGGCTCAGGACGAACTTATGGAGGACGTTCTTTCGCAGGGAGGAGCCTGGTAGGGTGCTTCTCGCATTTGGTGTGGATGAGGCATCCTACAGGGCACTCCAGCGGCAGAACCTTAAGGCGCACGCGGGGGTCTCCCACGTCACTTTCGTGACGAAGGCGAGTGCTCCGGCTGCGCAAGCAAAGGGAGAGGGCTCCGCCGGAGCAGCGGGACCCAGTTCCGCTGCAATGGAGGGGGTCCAACCCTTAGGTGGAGACCTCGAGGCGTTGGAATTAGAATTGGCGCCCTCGCAGGTCGAACAAGATGTCGACGAGCTGTTGGCTCGTGTGGCGGTCCTTGGCTCCGAGATGGGGTCAGAGCCGTCGGCATCTTTAGAGGAGGGGGAGCCTAAGTACATCGGTGATGGACAAGGTAACCTTCTTACAGAGCAATTTGCAACACAGTAAGGGGGCGACCTGCTTAATAGGCCGCCAACTTTCTGTAAGGCAGACAGGCGTTTGCCTCATACAAGAACCTTGGGTTTACAAGGGACGAGTAAGAGGCTTAAGTCAGGTTGAGGGCTCACTTTATTATAAGAGGGACAGTCAACTGAGTACCAGGACTTGCATATATGTCGACAGACGCATCGAGTCTTATTTAATGGCTGATTTCTGTTTTAGGGATCTTGTGGCTCTAAGACTTCAGCTGAAAGATGGAAAGGGACGGAGCAGGCAATTAGTAGTCTGCTCAGCGTATCTACCATATGACTCGGAAGAAGCTCCACCTCCCAGGGAGCTAGCTGAGTTGATAGAGCACTGTCGGAGTGAAAGGCTCCCTCTTGTGGTTGGCTGTGATGCAAATGCACATCACGTTGTGTGGGGCAGCACGGACACGAACTCGAGGGGCGAACACGTTCTGGAGTACTTGCAGACAACTGATTTGAATGTTTTAAATCAGGGAGAAACCCCCACCTTCGTTACGTCGCGGAGGCAGGAGGTCATTGATCTAACGTTGGGCTCTTTCTCTATAGCTCACATGATCTCAAACTGGAGAGTGTCTGATGAACCGTCTCTTTCGGATCACAGGCACATTCTTTTCCAACTAAACCTGTCATTCAATGGTGGGCCCTGTAGGTTTCGGAATCCCCGAACCACCAACTGGGACTGCTATGTTGAAAAACTGACAGAACGGTTGGATAAACCACCTTTGCTCTGCCGGAAAGCAGGGCAGGTGGAAGAGGCGGCGGCAATGATAAGCGACGCTATAACGGCGTCGTTTGAAGACAGCTGCAAGCTGCGAACTGTTCGGGGAATGAAGAGAACACCTTGGTGGAACTCGGACCTTGAAAAAGTTCGTAAAGAGGTTCGAAGGCTCTTTAACAGGGCCATGCGTACTAAGTTACCTGCGGACTGGGAGGATCACAAACTCGCACAGCGCAGGTATAAAGACCACATTCGACGGTCTAAACGGGGATCGTGGAGGACTTTCTGTGGCAACATGGAAGGGCTTCCCGAAGTTCAAAAACTTCGTAAGATCCTTTTGAAAGATCCAGGGCAAAAAGTGGGGACGCTGAGGCTTCCATGCGGCAGATTTACATCTAACGCGGGTGAGGCCCTCACATGTCTCCTGGAAACACACTTTCCAGGCTCTGGAGACTATGTAACTTCGGAACCGCCAGAAGGTGCTACCCGGGTCGGTGCAAGGCCGATCGACTGGAGAGTAGCTGCCGGGGTTGTTACCGAGGGATCCCTGAGATGGGCTATCAATACGTTTAGCCCATTTAAGAGCGCAGGACCTGATGGGATATTTCCGGCTCTTTTGCAAAAGGGCCTGGAACCATTACTTCTGCACTTGTTGCACCTCTTTAGGGCCTCTGTGGCTTTGGGGTACATCCCCATAAGCTGGAGAAGGGTCAGAGTTGTGTATTTACCTAAGCCGGGTCGTACTAAGTACGACACAACAAAGGATTATAGGCCCATCAGTCTATCATCGTTTCTTTTAAAAGCGGTAGAAAAGCTGGTGGATGCATACATAAGAAACGGGGCGCTGGTCCTTAGACCACTACTCCCGTTTCAACACGCTTACAGAGCTGGCATGTCCACGGAGACGGCTCTTCACAGTCTCGTGTGTAGACTGGAGAGGGGAATGTCTGCTGGAGGGGTAGCTCTGGGAGCCTTTTTGGACATCGAAGGTGCGTTTAACAACACCACGTTCGATTCCATTAGTGAGGCTGCTGAAAGCTTTGGCATTGACGGGTCAATCGTAAGATGGATCCGGGCCATGCTTGGAGGCAGGGTCATCATAACCTCGATCGGAACTACGGAGATGAGCTCATCGGTCACTAGAGGATGTCCGCAGGGTGGAGTACTGTCTCCACTACTGTGGTGCCTGGTGATAGACGGGCTCCTTCGTACACTAAACGAGGATGGAGCGTATACACAGGGATACGCAGACGACCTCGCAATTGTCATTGTGGGGAAGTTTCCGAGCACCGTAAAAGAGCTCATGCAGAGGACTCTTGGACAGGTGGATAGATGGTGCAGTAGCCACGGTCTCTCTGTCAACCCGGAAAAGACCGAAATTGTTCCATTTACGAGGAGACGGAATGTGGACCTTGATGGTCTCATCCTTCGAGGACGCCAATTGTGTCTGACCAGGTCAGTTAAATATTTGGGGGTCACTATAGACTCCCGTCTGTCCTGGAAAGGGCACATTGAGCGAATTAGCAAGAAGGCCACTGCATGTCTATGGGCATGCAGGAGAGCTTTCGGCTGCACATGGGGATTAAATCCTCGACTAGTATATTGGCTTTACACTTCGGTGATAAGGCCGATAATATTGTACGGCGCACTTGTATGGTGGCCTGCAACGCGCAGGGTAACATACAAGAAGCAGCTGAGTAAGGTACAGCGACTCGCTTGTTTGGGAATCACTGGAGCCATGAAAACCACGCCAACGTTGGCTGTGGAGGCTCTTCTGGGACTTGAACCTCTACACTTATCGGTACAGGCCGAGGCCCGGAGGGCTTCCATAAGACTAAATGATTGGGGTGAGTGGAAGGATAGAGGCAGTCTCGGACACGGGCGGATCTGGGAGGAAACTCTTAGGTCCGACCCCTTCCTCGCAAGAAGGGACGTGATTCGAGCTACCCTACTTGAACCGAAGAGGTATAAAGTCATTCTCCCGAACAGGGAGCAGTGGCTGAACCCAGATCGTCCGTTCCTCAAACCTGAGGGGCTCGTGTGGTTTACCGATGGGTCCCTAACGGAAAAGGGAACGGGCATGGGTATACACGGTGACCGGCCGAGAGTAGGCATCAGCCTCTCCCTTGGCCAGCACAGTACTGTGTTTCAGGCAGAGGTGCTAGCCATCACGACCTGTGCGCAAGAAAACCTCCGTAGAGGTTATCGTAACCAGCATATATACATATGTAGTGATAGTCAGGCGGCGTTAAAGGCTCTGTCAGCTGACAGGGTCCGCTCGAATACGATGCTTGACTGTAGGCGAACCCTAGATAGATTAGGTGAGTCTAATAGGGTAAGCTTGATATGGGTGCCGGGGCACTCTGGAATAGGGGGCAACGAAAGGGCGGACGAGTTGGCTCGCGAAGGCAGTAGTGGGGTCCTTGTCGGGCCTGAGCCCACCCTTGGAATTGCTCCCTCAGTTGTCAGGGTCAGGATTAAGAACTGGGCGACCAGTCAATTCCAGGCTCAATGGCAACAGGCAGCTGGACTCAGACAGTCCAAGACCTTTTTAACAGGGCCTCTTGGCAAATCTGAGTCTTCTAAGCTTCTAAACCTAAACAGAAGTCAGATTAGGAAGATCGTCGGTGTCTTCACGGGACACTGGATGGTCAACTATCACCTGCACAATATTGGGCTTGTGGAAGACCCTGCGTGCAGGTTTTGTGGTGAGGTAGAGGAAACTACCGAGCATGTAGTCTGTTACTGTGACGCTCTGATCAGGGACAGACATAAACTCCTCGGTGACAGTTACTTGGAACCGAGGGAGGTGAGGAAACTAAGGCTAAATAGGGTCTTATCCTTCATTGAAGGGAACGGGCTCTAAGCTTTGGTTGTTTAGAGAGGGGGTTAGCACAATGGGCCGTTGATGAGCCTAAGTGCTGCCTGTAAAGGCTCCCCTGATAGAATAGAATAGAATCACTTTGAAAACTAGTTGTACAAATAACTACTGCCCCACACCTGACACCAATTGTAACTAATTTCCACGAATCTATCTTATGGCGCTTTTTCTGGTTATTTCATTTGTTAGAAGTCGTATGAAACATTCTAGAGCGTTCTAAACGACGCAGGAGCATAATTTTGATATAATATTGAGGAACTCGGTCCGGGGTAGCGCAAAGGTCACAAATTTTAGTTAGAGCGGCGGGTGCTCGGTCATGTGGACCATAAACCTCGCAACGGCAAGTCGCTTAAAAATGTAACGCTAATATGGGTAGCGCCATCTACAGATCTCAATCCGCAAAATTGTGAAATTCTCATCAAGTAACCTTTGAAAGGTGCTGCATCCTACTGTACCTACTTACCGTTGACGAATAAACGATTTCCTCCCTCAAAAGCTTGTTTTCTCCGGCACCTTTATCGAATAATCCCCAATCCATTTTGATGTCCCAAGTGTACGCGTAACAAGAGTTAAGGATGCAGGATGCGATAAATAAAAATAAAAACGGATTATCGGCGGACGACGCGTAATTCGACTGGTATACAGATCTGAGTGTCCCGAAAATAACCACGAAGAACGTGGTGGCGTACTTTCCGGCGTTAACGAGATGGGGAAACGCCTCCTTTGTATCGCGGTAACGTCGCAAGCACTGAGCGAAACGTATCCACGCCGGAATGCAGTTCACAATGGGACGAGTTATGAAATTGTGCTCCATGCATTGACTTGTATCTGAAAGCACAATCGTTATTTGGGATTTCCCAACTTAATGTCCTGATAATCACGATAACACCCAAATGACTAATAACCATCAACAACGCCCGCATCGAATTAAATTGGGCACAACTCTCAACTTTTAAGAATGTCACTCTAACCCAATGATTCAATATAGGCCAGTCTTTGGGGATCAAAGATAGGACTTACCTGGAAATAAAGGAGAGTCCGACAAGTTGAAGGAAATCGACATCGATTCCGAAGCTGAGGTAACCATTTTCCCCGTTCAAGATATGGAAATCAACGAGCAAGATCCGTCTGGCCTTGGTCAAAGATAATTTTAGTACCTAAGTGGATTAGGCCTACAGAGGAAACCACGTTAAAAAAACGCGCCGTGTATTTTACCTCTTGGGTGGTGTGGAAACAAGTATAGCATTTTAAATCGAAATTAATTGTTCATAAATTATTAACATAGATTAATTAATGGGTTAATCGATTAATTAAATAAAAGATATGCCATTATTTCGTGATAAATATTTACTAGGAACATATGTTATAGGAAACTTCCTCCTCTTTAATTTTGCGCTCTACATACTTTTTCGAAAAACGCATAGTTTTGGGGATATTTGCAAAAAAAACCGTTTTTGGGGACCATCTTGGCAAGATGGCGGCATGTTTCGGATTGTGCATTTTGTGAAATTCTCAACAAAAAAAAGTGTCTGTAGAAGGTGTCAACGGGAACCGTCCATTTCAGACCGTGTAAGTTACGAAAAATGAAAACGATATTTTCAGTTTTTTGGTGATATCTCGGTTATCAAAAATTTTTCAAAAAGTATAGTCTCAAAAAAGGGGTAACTTTTCCCCCATTTAACCTACACTGTATCTCTCACCGTTACGGAGATCCCAATGAGGTTGGGGATTTATTCAAAAAATTGTTCAATGCTCATGTGGCTGTAATATTTTGAAACCATATTTCCTTAAAACAGCAGGGGTACAATGAGGTACACTGAATTCAGAACTAGGTACATAAATTTGTTTTCAAGGTCAAATTCTCTAAACCTAAGAAATATTCTTAGAAGTCCTTGAAACAGTCTTGAAAAAACATTTCAGAAAACTTCTTGGGTCACAGAAACTTACAAATCTTTTGAGGGAGAATTTTAACAAATTTCATAGAAAAGAATCCTCTCAGATCTTCCTACAAATTTTTTAATCTTGAAAAATTTCTTAAAAATTTTCCTGGAAAACTTTTGAAAGAACTCTACTATTTAATAATTATTAATAATTATTTTGTTTAATACGTTCAGTTGGTACTTATACCTACCCACTTAAAAATAATGAAAAATAAAATCTACGCGAGCTACGCAAGTTTACTTGAAAATTCAAGAAAATTTCTTAAAAATATTTCCAGAAAAATGTTCTTTAAAATCTTCAAATTCCCCCTTTAAAAAATTCTCTTAAAAATCTTTCTAGAAAATTGGGGGGCAATTTTTGCAAGGAATTTGTTGAAATCCTTTCAAGAACATCTTAGGACTCATATTTCCAGAAAGAGTACCTTATAGAAGTTTTAAGAATTTTGCAGCTAGAACCTGTTTGGACATTGTAGAAATTAATCTTTTTTTCAGGAATCTTTTCTAGAAATGTGCTAAGGGTCTCTCTAGAGATCTTAAAAAAAGGGCTGGTTATCAATTTTTGAGACATTTAGGTTTCATAAACCTGGTCAAGTGATTTTTTTAATAAACATCATTTGATTTAGTAACTTAAATCATAAACAATTGAATATTGTTATTCATGCATAATCTCATAGTTAACTTAGGTTTGAAACTGGGGGTTGGGGTTATTCTTAAAGTATGGAAAACGTTGTTGAGGGTTGTAGTCATAATTTTGGAGTAGGGTGTTGTGGTATAAACCCTCCCCACAATAATTGCGACGAGTACTTACCATTTGCTTCCAGCCAATTACCATTGGTGACGTAGAAACAGACCAAAAAATGAAAATCGACTAGCGCATTTGCCAAGCTATTCAGTTGATCGGCCAGCCAGAAATCGGCAAAGCCCACATGAAAGAAAGGGGCGGCAAACATACGACCCTAAAGCTGACAATTAAAAACACACAATAATTACAGGTCGCGAATACGTACACATATCCTTAAGAACCAGAACCGGGCCTCATGCCGGAATACTTTAAACGGATTAAGTACAAAGACGAGCATTAAAATCGAAAGCGCCAACGGATTTAAATAAGGCGGTATGCTCAGGCTGGGACTGTACAAAAAACTTAACAGGCTCAGCGTCCAAATTACTCCGAATATCGCCGCCATTTCCATCAGGTGCTGCTCGGATAAATGGTTTCTGGGGTCCAATTCGAAGATTAGGACGTGGTTTACTCCCGACGAACGCCATCCGTACACGTTGACGCCGATTAAAAACAAAAATTCTATTATCAATAATGGTCCTCTATACAAACGGAATGCAATTTTTAAATTCTCACTCGTTCCTTCGTGGAATATCGCTAAAACAAAAAAAGTAAACTTCAATTTTGAGGTTATGGGCGAGATAAAGGGATTTTTACCGATGTGAGTCAAGGAAATTAAAATGAAATACAAGCAGGCAAACTGCCAAATTAAGTCCTTTACCGCCATAAAATTTCATAATTAAAATTGGCCAAAATTCGGCGTTACGTTCATTTTTTCAAACATGAAGAGTTCTCTCATGTAGGTAACAAGCTAACAAGGAAAGAATCTCAATTGGCCACGTACTTTCAGCCACAATTAGCGACACTGATAAGACTTCAAGGTCTTCAAAATGAAAATGAAACAATAATTTACATTGCATACTTTTAGCTTTTACGTAACCAAGTTACGATTACAGTCACCGCACCATTCGTACAAACACTAGCAAAGCTCCGGTACTTGTGGTGTATACACTAAGCACAGTCACTGAGGTCCTTACGTGCCCATTACTCAAATTCACACATTCCAATTCATTCATGGCCGAATCACCACATCAGGCTGCACCGAGAAGGTGGGAGTCAACAAGGTTTTGTACCATACCTTCATATGAGGAAGTTTTTACCGTTTTAAAGTTCTTAAAGATCCTTCCCTATTTATGAGTGTATTCTCCTATTTTAAAAAGATGAATCTTGAAATGCAAATTGCACCCCATGGCCCGATAGTGTAGGTATATTTACTTGAGCAGAACAATTTTAATATGTACATCCAATTTTTCATTGTTGGTGCCCCCATATTTACAAGTTTTTTCATTTTCAAAAATTTGTGGCAAAAAAATACTTTTGTGCTATTATAACATATGAGAAAAAGGGTACTTGAAGGGGACTATATTAATAGGGCTAGCTCCCCCAGCCTAGCTATGTGCTTTTTTGTGTTTTTTTCTTAGGAAGTTTTGTATTTGTGTTTCCGCCAAAAAGATAAATCATTTGGACTCGTGTTGAGAGAAAAGTATTTGATTACATTTTTACTTTTTAGTGACCATGTTTACATGTTTTATGACAGTTGCTTTTATTTTAGTATTTAGAGTCTAGATACAGGTACAGATACTTATTACATATACTTTGTATCTACAGATAACATATAGCAGAAAAAATCAGAAGTCTAGAAGCTCTGAAATTGAACTGAATCGCAATTCGAATTGCTTATATAGCAAAGGCCGGGCTTTTACAAACGCTCTCGAATGTTCTAAAACAAAACAGGTCACATTTCCCAGAAAGATTGCGTCACATCCGCCTTCGTTCTTTATCGCCGATGACAAGATCTGTCGTGGCGCCTCGATATCTATCGGGATTTTTGAAATATGCGCTACAGTATTAACTGCTTATATTTGACAAACAATATGTACAGGGTGAGTCAACGATTGCGCGGAGTAACTTATGCCTCGAAGATGAGATTTTTCGATAAAGTGATTTTGTATTATGATATGGTTGAATATTCTCCACATTTTAAACATATTGCGTACACAAACTAATTTTGACAATAAACTGCAGCAGCATATGCCAAATTTTTCTTATAAATCAAATTATCTGTTCTTCGTATACTAACCATATAATAAAAAAAGTCGTCCAATTACACATAAAATTAAAATGCATTAAAATACAAGAGGTTCCATTCAGAAAAATGTACCTTTTTAGCGCCCAACTGTGTGAACGCACCCTGTATAATTTTCTCTTTTAAGTAACTATAGTAACTTATTTTGAATTAAAAATTATTTTTATGATAGGTCGTCACATATGCAAGAAAAAAGTGAGGATAAGGTTTATTCCTTTTTTTCTGTGTATAGAATAACTCACACGATAGAGAAAGACAGATAGTAGTAAATGTAAATGATTTAGCCTTGTAAATTTGCGTACATTTGCAATGTACCTATGTTTCACACACCCATTATCATTCCAAGTCAAACATATTGTTGTGTAAACAACGTCATATGGAGACGTTATTTCGGTCTAAATACCAAAAATAATGATGGGGATATCCTGTATATGAGAATTATTTCAATTCATTAGCTTAGATGCGTAATTTTCCGTTTAAATTTTATCGCTTTTGTAAATTATTCAATTTAAAGGTGTTTGCGATAAGGAATTTATCAGGCGAAATTTAATTAACGCACGTGTTCTGGTGCTAGCTATTAGCGATTTATTTGAAAATTCATAAAGTAAGAGTTTACTTTATGGTGGAAGTGGTGTATCGTTATGTGCTGGAGACAGCGAGAAAACGAGGCCGCGACGGCCATTTGTTTACGCGAATTTTTTTTACGGGCAGTCAGCCTGTGTATGTAAAAACGTAATTCGTCGATATCGAAATAAAGTGTGCTTAAGCAAGTTAACCAAAGTGAAAATACAAATAGTTGTGCACAGCGAAGCCTTATTAAGGTTCTCCTCTTATTAAAAGCTAAAAGTTTCTGTCATCAAGTTCAGTGTTGTCAAAAACAAGTGAACTTTCCAGAAGCTATAGTCCAGCGCTTCTGTGTGGGTTAACTGCGCCTATTATCGCAAACCTTGTCCGACCTGATTATTTGGATTCTTTAAAAAAAACATAAATAATTTTAATGGCCGACCGCCTGCGTACGGGGTAATATGTCCAAACAAGCTTTTTAAGCTTTTCTTTCTTTCAGGGATTTTGTTTTATTTCTTTCATGTGCTTCGGAATAAATTTTTGTCATTTAGCAATCAATTAATCGTGTGTTTATTCGAATCCATTGTGCGACCCGGATAGTTTTTCATGTCAGATCACTGTTAATAAAAATTTCTTTAATTAGTTAATTCTTTGGAATTTTCGGAAGTTAAGGCTCCAAAATTATAAGTTTAAAGTCAATATTCAGATTTTTCATTTTTAAATTTAAAGCTATAGCTGGACGGGTGTTTTGTAGATATGACACAAAGTTGGTATTTTTTAAATGCAACACCCTGTATATTTTAACGTCAGTTTTTGTGCATTCTTTTTCCTGATTACTTTGATGTATCAGACCCTATATTTTATTTTATTTATTTTAATTTTTCAAATGAAATGACATGTTGCTATCGTCAGCCATTTTTAATGATTCGGAAGGTATCAGCTTAGATCAGTATATATGATCTAAGGGTATCAGCTTTAATTACCATGGATACAATAGCAAAACAAAATCTCCATGAACCAATGGCCTACTATTTAAAAACAGCAAAAAAAATTTTTTCTATTTCGGTGTCACAATGATGATTTTGTACAACTGTTTTCGGCCGAAAACAGTTGTACAAAGACAGTGATTATAGTCGTTTTTTTTGGTAACTAATCTCTTAAGTTGGCAGTTACTAGTTAGTACAAGTAGGTACTTCGTTGGGTACTTCCATGTTTGAACTTCAAAATGTCAGTCTTACTCATATATATAAGAGAAGATATATGGTCTTACTACTCTGCCAACCTAAAACTTAACGGCATAAAAAGTGTTCCCAACAA